ATCCCGTAAGATTTTTCTTAAGGCCGTGTGATACTATGCATTTTCTTGTATCATTTCTTATATCGTTTCTGATATAACAAAAAATTGATAGTGGCATACAAGCGTATAGTTCTTATATCAGAAACGATACAAGAATTTGTGTCCACTGCAATTTCTTGTACAAGAAATGCGTCAATTTGTGCACAAAAACATAAAACTTATGTCATAATAACGGCTGGAGGAGAACTTTGATATACCATTAGACCAAGCAGACATCAGAGAAAAGTGCCCACCAGGCACCAACAATAACCAAGATTCGAACAGCAGTAGCCAAATTGAAAAACAATAAATCACAGGAATTGGATCAAATAGTATCGGAACTACTGAAAGTAGGAGATGTATTACTAAAAAAAATACAAAACCGCCCTAAAAATTCGTGATGAGTTTAAAGATTATTTTATATCTCCAAATAGAGTAGAATTTCAAGATCATGCCATTCAAACACATAATGTGTAAAAAAACAAATAAATTATTACAACCAAATAATTTATTATTTCTGTCTTCCATTACAGCCTGTTGAATGTCTTAAAAATTGTGGTTTCCAATTTAGTTTTAATATTGGGACATTTTATTTCTTTCATTTTTGCACCACAGTATTTTAAAAAATAATCAGTAGCATCTGGCTTGGGGTCCTCAGGTACTGCAGTTCTATTTTTATAGGTGTCAAAATTTTGACCAATCATGTGCCGAATCACGTACAATTTCTGGTAAAAGAACTTGCATAGTGTCATACAGAGCACAAATGTACGTACAAGAAAACACAAATAACTTTCTATATCAGAAACGGTATAAGAAACGATATAAGAAATGCATAGTGTCATACGGCCATTATCCTCCGTTGTGAGTGTCGGATGCATATCCTCTCTAATTCCTCCAAAACCAGCAAATGTCCATAAAACGCAGCCATATTAATACTTTTTGTGTCAGTTTTCCTTACAAGAATCAAACAAAATAACACCGCCTAAACTGAACCTAATCTCACTTCTCCCAGTCCAGCCAGTCATGGCACATTAATTTCGACTCGAAATGAAATGTCAGCACTTTCTTGAATTTGAAATTAATTTCGATATATCGAAAATTAGTGACGTCCTTTGGATAGTTCAACTGAAATCCACTAGGCTCGCAAAGTCGCATTTCGACGTGGCCATAATAATTTCGACATATTTTTAGTCAAAATCTCAATTAGAAGCAGGGCCCTGGTCTGTATATCACGCTTAATATTTTGCGTCAAATAAATGAATGGCCAACTGCAGAAAGCCAACAAGTCCAGTTTTGCCAATTTTTCAAGGGAGACAAAAAACTTGCTAAACACAAACACACTACTGGTATTAATTTTTTTGCATTTAAGGTTTATGTGATTGGGCATTCTGGACTACTACATACTTATAAAATATTTAAATAGTTTAAGAGGAGAGGGTAGAGAATTTTTTTGTGTTAAGGACATGTTCCGTTTCTGTCGTAAACAAGAAATTTTAAGAAGCTCTAAGGAAAACAATCAATATACAAACAGAATATTTTATGAGAATTAATTGTATTAAAATAAAACAATGTCCTATACATGAAATAAAGCAATTAAATCATAAATTTAAATTTGAAGTAAATTTCAGTTCATGTTTTTAGTTGAAGTATTTTGAGTGTATGTGAGTGTATGTGTTCCATTCAGTATTTTTATTTTCAATATCTAAATAAAGAAAATTTTCATCTGGTAAATCTGCCTGAATCCATTTCCGTGGTAGGAGAGTTACACTTTTTGCACGAATCTCAGTAGATGCCACTTGAATTTCTTGATTTTCTTCATTTTGTGTCTCTATTTCTGTTTCCGTCTCATTCTCTTCCGTACCTTCTTCTTCCTGAATTTGTGTCACATTTTGAACATTTCATATCTCTTTCTCGGCCTCTTTTTCATATAGATTTATATTTTCTTTGTCGATCCTTTTTTCTTCTTCTTGATGAATTACAGCCTCTGATTCCGCATCCAACATATTTTGGTTTAGTTTATTCAATGTTCCTCCACAGTCTTAATCAGTCAATTCAGTGGGGTCAGGAGGTGCTAGGAAAACATCTGCACTGGAAGCCAACTACATAAGATTCGATTCTTCCAGCATTGACATAATTTTATGTGCTCTTGATTCGTAAAAATTTTTTTAGGACGACTATTAATACTATGACGACCGAAACTGGTCCAGCCAAGTTGATTTGACATCTTATTTCCACCTTCTAGAACAAAAATGATTTTTTGTACTAATAATATGCCTTGTGCTCAGTGTTGCGAAAATGCAACACTGATAATTGGGCTGTTGTACCTATTAGCACAGATAAAATAATAGCACTTACTTGCGTACTAAAACATACATAGGAAACTGTAGTGAAATAAATCTGAACTTTGATTGCCGGAATAAGTCATGAAATTTTCCAAAAGATGACGCCATAGTGGGCTATGTCAACTGTTGCGAAAACGCAACGCTGGGCATGAATGGGTTAAGAGCAATAATCTTGATCTACTGCAAAACAAAGTGAAAGTGACTTTCGCCCTTTTAATTCTAACGAATAGTTTTATAAAGTATTTTTAAAAGAATTGTCAAATTGCGCATAAATTATTAGACCAGTTATGAGTTGATTTAGTGTAAAGTTAACTTAATATCCTTCTTACCTGAATTAACACAATTATTATCGATTATCTTTAGTAATATTGTAACATTTTTTTTTATTATTAATATATCAAATTATTTTTAATTCCTTTTACCCCCGTGCGATACGCCGATGATTAGGAATCCCCGGGTTTACGATAGGAAAATATTATTGTAGACACCAAGCTGAAATGGAATTCCCTAATTAAGAAAGGTTTTTAATCCTTCCGTCCTAATACTCTGTATGAAAAGAACAAATGCTTTCCGGTATGCAGTTTCTTTTTCATAAATTGGTAATTTTCGCCGAAGGCCCGTATCTTTTGACAATAATATAATCCTAAGGATTTTAATATTCTCAGGTCCAATTGTTAATACCGATTATTTTACCTCAAACTTTCCAATAGTCGTTAACGCCTTACCTTCTGAGAAATACATACGACTGTCCGATGATTTTAAGTGGGGGATATACCTTCTTCTTCTTTTTTAATGGATAGTTGGTGAAATTTTTAGGGAACCAACTTACTTCTCGGTGGGCTCTTGTTGAGTGAAGTGATATCTCGTGATGCGCTTTGCTCACGATATTTCTTATCTTATCGTCGCTGTGAATTATTTTCTAAGTGTGTGTACACTTCATATTTGAGTTTTCTTTCCTTAGACTATATTAAATTATATATAGTTCTACACTCCCTTTAATGGTTATTAAATTCAGTGTTTAGTACCAGAAAAGTATTAAATTCAGTGAATTAAGCTGCCTTCGTCAAGATCTACTGTAAGTAATCTTTATCTACAATTATCTGGGCGAGTAATATGGTGTGGTACCATATCACCTGCCATTATCTGGACGTATCATCTATATCTTCACCTGTAGATTGCCGATTTTTGAATGTAATTGAACCATTCAAGAAATTTCTATAAATATTACCTATGAACATACAAGTCTCAGTTTTTTATTAAATAATAGTGCGAGATACTTAATTGACTTAACCAAGTGCGGTTTGGTTTATGTTTTCATTCCTGTAACCTTTTTGTTTTTTTTTTTTTTTTGTAAATTTAGAGTTAAGTAATTTTTGCTATCTTTTGTATTTCCTATAATTTTTGTTCATTATCTTTCCTATGATATCTCGAGATACGCCAAACTATATTTGTATATGATTGCCTTATATATCTTGGTAAAGGTATTTTTTTATTACATTATAGCTTAATTTTATACATATATAACACCATTTCATAGTTGTGTATTTTTATTACCTGTAATATATTGTTATTGTTTTATGTATGTATTTTATTTGTCGGCTCCTAACAAGTTCCCTGATAAAATAATAGCTCTGAACAAGTACTATCTTTAAATGATACTATGCTCTTGAACTGTAGAAAGATCAGGCTGATTAAGTTTCGTAGGTAAGTAAGTGTAATACTTAATATATTTATTATTTGTTTATATATTGCGTTGACCAGATTTATTTGATAATTTACTGTTGGTATCTTTCCTTGGGTTTGATCTCTGAACCTAAATATCTTTTCTTATCTCTTTTCTTTTCTAAGGTTTTCTTAATTTTCTCCTTAACCCAAAAAATTGAGTGGCGCCCTGTTTCTATCTTCTCTTATCTTTGGTAATTTTACCCATCTATCTTTTTGTTTATTTCTGTATCTTTTCTAATATCTCTTATCCTATCTTTACCTATTTCTTCCGTTGGATCCATTCCGGTTCCAAAAGCTAGTTTCGAACCCACGACTCGCTCTCCACCAACCATCTGGCTGCCGTCTGCAGTGTCTCCATTGGTTATCTTTCTAGCACCACCCAAAAAAGATTTCTGAGGTTACAATATCGTTCGTAATCTACCGTTTCTATCCCTCTTATTTATTATATTGTTGACAAGCAATTTCATACCCACAGCCGTTCTGTATTGTAGTGTTGTCAGATGTATTTAATATCACACCGAAGGTGTCCCTATACATCCCTATATTACATCACGAAGGTCGTTCTTTTTCTTGTGGTGCCTATCCGTTACGGATGTTGGCAACAAGCATGGCAATTCTAACTTTATTGTCCTGAAATAGCCCTATGAAATAGTTCTGAAGTGGTCAAGGAAAACCATTTACGTAAATTCTGGAGCCAAGATATTCTTCTTCTTCCTGGTCCCCTCTTTCCGTAGACCTTTCCTTGTAGTACAAGTTGCAGGAGGTTATATCTATGATGGTTTCGCATTATATGTCCAAGATATTCTAGCTTGCGCTGTTACAAAGCTGAAGGTCGTTACAAACATAAAAACCAAAGAAACTACAAATAAAAATAGTAAACAATAATTTAATTCAATAAATAAAACGAAAGCAACTGAATATTATACAAGATTTTTTATTTAAATCAACTGAACGGCTTCCTAGATGCTTAATAGACTAGAATAAAAGGGCACATCAAAGCTCACAAATTACTGTGACACTTTCTGAATCTTTTCACAATGTCTGAAATACAATATATAAATTAATTAGTAGATTATTCTTCACACCAGGATGACTAGATGATAAATCGTGGCGAACGAAGACGAAGAGATTGTCTTAGTATCCAGCAAGTTCGGCGAAGGTGGAGTCCATTTCGTCGGCAAGGGACTTGTACCTGTCCTTGTTGATTCCAAGTTCGTCTAGAAACAGAGAAGAAATATGTTAGTATGAGATACAGTTAACAAACATTTTAACAATCATTAATGTGGTGTATCAAAAATAACAGTAAAACAAAAGGAAGAACTCAATGCGGCAACAGGACAATAATATTAGCCCTTTCCTATCTAATATCATCAGGGATAAAATCCTCTATAGCATACTAATAATTTACAGTATAACACTCACGACAGCTTTCTGACAGTAATGTGATATGTGAATGACGCCATTCACTACTAATCTGCCAATCGGCAGTTCTAGCTGGCCCACCATCTTGGCTTGATGGTGGGCCAGCTTGATTACCAGCTGGCGTACTTGTAGTGCAGTAAACAGTGTGGGGGCACTATAGCCTAACAAAGAAATGTCAGGATCAACTTTTAAAGAAAAGTAATATACAAAGGCAAACAAAAAGACCACAGGGATCCTCTACATCTCCGACACTATCAAAAATATTCCTAGAATAAATATTTAAGTTATAGAAAATAAAATGTAAAGGTATAAGAATACCAATCCAAGACAACTTCTTGTATACATTAAGTTTTGCAGATAATCAAGTGGTAACGGCTCAAGATCTATCTTTTATGCTCCAAAAACTAGAAGAGCTTCTTTTTCTTCTTCGGCTTTTCCCATTATGAGTTCGCCGTTTTCGTCCTCCATAGCACTCTATTCTCCCAGTTACCTTCTCTGAGGTCTCTATCTATCATAGCATTTCCGACGTATGTTTTCCATCTTGTAGCAGATCTTCTTCTCCGTCGTCTTCCCTGCGGGCCCCACTTTTCGGCCACATATGCTCTGGCATTCTTTGTACATGCCCGTACCACTGCGGGCTCTGTAATTGTAATTGAACATTCTACTTCCATTCTGTTCCATATTTTCTCTGTTCTTATTCTATCCACTCTTGTGATTTGTAGATCTTCTCATAAAGTCCAGTTCAACTGTTCATATTTTATTTCGTATTGTTGTTGTCATTGGCCATACTTCCGCTCCATATAGGGTAATATTCATCACTATGCTTTGAAAGATCCTCTTTTTGTTTTCTTTGGTTAGAGTGTTGTTCCATATCACTCCATGACGTGCTCTTGTGGCTTGTTTTCCCCGTGCTATTTTCATTTCTATATCTTTCATACAAGTACCATCTCGGCTAATCATTGACCCTGAATACTTAAAAGTCTTACAACTCTTAATAGTCACTTCTTCTAAACTTAAGTTCAAATCTGCAACCTCGGGTCCAATACATAAGTATTCGGTCTTACACATATTTATCTTGAGTCCCCAAAGTTCATATTCTTCCTTTAATTTCCCTATCATATATCCTCCCTGTCTTGTGCAAAAATGACTTGATCATCTGCGAAAAATAGTGAATGTAATATATTCTTCTTTGTGTTATATTCACCCATTTCTCTCTAACGCGCATTCTTCTCATTGCTTCCCATAGTTGTTTCCTGAGCACGCTATCGTATGCTTTCTCTAAGTCGATAAAAGTCATATGTGTTTCAATGTTTTTTTCTTTATTCTTTTCAATCACCTGTCTCATAATGAATATATTATCTAAACATGATCTGGCTTTTCGGAATCCGGCTTGTTCTTCGCTATAATGGTCCATATGTTGTTATAGTTTTTCTTTTATAACTGATGAAAAGATTCTTGCTATTGAAGGCATTACACTGATCCCTCTGTAGTTATTTGGTGACCTTTTGTTACTTTTTTTAAAAATGGAGGACATGTATGATAAATTCCACTCATCGGGAATATTCTCTCCTGCTTCGATTTTATTGAACAACATTCGTATAAAGGATACTATCCTTGCGCCTCCGTATTTCAGCAGTTCCATTTTTATGTTCCCTGGTCCTGGTGCTTTATTTTTTTTTTTGATTTCTTTAGTGCTTTATTTATCTTCCTCTGTGATTTCTGCTTCCTCAGTCGTTATTGTCACAGGGTGGTATGAGATATACTATATGAGCAATACACAAAAAATGGACTGGAGATAATCCCAGAACAGACCGAAAGTTTAACAGACATATACATATACCTAACAAGAATCAGTTAGGAACTTTTAAATGGACGAAGATAGGGAAATTAACAGCACTGAAAAATTCAATTCAAATACTTATAATTAATAATCTTAAAGAATGGAACCACTGAGCAAGAGATAATCAGCAGGCTAGTACAGACAAGAACATGTATCGAACAAATGAAAGGGATATTATAACATAGACAGATTACCAGAAATACAAAAGAGAGAATATATAACATCTTCGTAATCACTTGTGAAGCAGAGAATTGGACAATAAACAAACAAGACAGGTCATGGAAATGGAGTTCATGAGAAAAAAGCTGAAAAGTAACAAGAATCATATTAGAAATAAAGAGATAAAAAGAGAAATGGCAGTAGAACAAGATATACTAGACACATTAAAAAAATACATTTACCTTGATATGGATAAGTGACAAGAGCAGCTCTTACAAAGTGGATTTTAAAGATTTCTGATTGGAGTCCAATAGTAAAGAGGACAAGAGGCAAACCTCGGAATCATGCAGGGAGGAAGTAGATGAGAACAAGGAAAGACGAGACCTTAGAGATGGAGAATGACAGGATAGAAAGACTGAAGAAGTTGTCTGAAAGGAGGAAGGCATTCTTAACGAATAAATAAAAATATCGACATGAAAACCTTTATAAAGGTCACAAACATAAGTTAGTTAATATAGTAGGGAGTTGGACGCTAAAAGTTAAGAGTTTGAATATATTAGAAGCGTTTGAAATTGGCTGTATTGGCAAATGTTACTAATATAAAAAGCGAAAAACTGCATATCGTGGTCATCTAATGAGAGTTTCTTCAGCTCAAACAATTACATTAGGGGTAAACAAGCGTGGACTCAAACTATTTGTTGAAGTAGACACAGAAGAACTAATTTGCCCAATTATCTCTTTTCACAAATACAAGAAATGTAAAATTTGTGGTTTATTAAAATTGTCGTAGAGATAGATCTAAAAGGCAGCGAACCGTTGTTCTTGGAAATGCTTGAAACTGGTTTATACAAGGTCTGGCACAAAGAACGGACGGTTTTTTAAAAATCACCAAATTGGTAATTTTTACTCAAAAACAAATTTATCACAATTAAGTGTGGAAATCGCATCAGTAATGGGGTGACTGTTTTTGACAATGCATTGCTGAAGGCGTTCTTGAAAGTTGGCGTAGATTCTCTTCAATATCGTTTTCTCAACTTGGGCGACTTCCATGGGATCTTTGAGGTCTTTTATGTAACTGTCGTGGATATTCATTACTACAATAACCGTATTTCTGCTGGTTAACCATACCACTGAAATAAAAGTGAGCTTTATCACTCATGAACCATATACGATTCTCAATTTGCTGTGCCTATGGCCAATTTGTAGGAGTGGAAATAAAGTTATGTAAAATACGTCTTACCGAACGACGTGATCTATTCTGCTTATATTGAATGAATCTTTATAAATACACTCGAAGGACAATACAAGTTCACTCTGGACATAAACAGTAAATGACGTGGGTTACAAATACAGCAACACAGAAATGATACATATATTTCATACGTACCTAAATTGCAAAAAGCTGAAGCAATGATGACAAGCTGCTAATGTTAGTAAATAAAATTTGTTAGTTTTTGTCTCATTCGGAATTTTCAATAAGCTTTCATTTTTACAATGTTACTTATGGAATGAATAAATTGTTTAGCTTAAAATTGTAAAAATTTCTTTCTTCTAGTAAGAATATTATTAAAATGCGAATTGTTTACCTCAGTCAAGAGTTCTCGAAACTGAGCTCAACTATTGCACCTTTAGTACGAAATTCTTTAGCAATATACCGTGGTATGGTTGAGAGGAAATATGAGAATCCTGTAACTTCTAGCAAAAAAAGAACTATTTATGGTTAATAATTCTCAACTATTCTTTGATTGTTAAAAGTTTCTTTATGCTTCCTTAAATCAATATACCTATTATTTAAATTTGCTTGAAATAGTTTAATTATTTTCATCACAAACTAAGTGCAACAAATTTTTAAACTATGTTCCGTCTTGTCCTGCATATCATTTTGCTATCCTTACTACATCTCTTCAGCTGTAGTAATTCTAATATTTAATATTTTATAGAACAAGCAGAAAGGGTACTGAAGTAAGTGGTTCAAAAACAGCACATCTTCACAGTAGTCTTCATTAGTTCCCTAAAGGAACTATATATATGATCAATGATCTAAATTGTTAAACCTGTTCTTCTTCTGGCATTTGGTCATGCACCACTTGCATACAAGTTCTGATATCTATCAACTTTTGAGAGTCCATTATCCCTTCATTCTCTCATCTTGTGTGCAGTTTCACTTTTGGTCTACAGACCTGTTTTATATTATCTAGAACTCTTCTTGGCAATCTGCCGTGATCCACTGCTACTATATAATCAGCCAACTGAAGACTCTGGAGCGTAGCAAATCCTAAGATAAGTGTTTCTTTGCACAGTTGGTGAATTTTATGACTATATTTGGATCTAGATATCACCTTTTTGTTTGCCAGTATAAAAGTCTTTCTTAGAGTTTTTTTTCAAAATCTTCTGCTATCATCTATCACCTGTCAACTATCATCTATTGGTATAATTTTAAGTTAAGAGATTTCAATCCTCGTTTTTTGATCTACAGTTTTGGAGCTGAATCTTAGAAGTGGGCTTTGTTACCCTTCATTATTCAGTTTGGAATTTTTGTTATTTCTATTCCATCTGTATTTGGTTCAACTCCTAGATGTGTGAAGCTTTTTAATGCTTCAATATTCTTCTTTTTGATGTGCCTATCCGTTACGAATATTGGCGATCATCATGACAATCTTTATCTTGTCTGCATCAGCGCGGAAACGTTGCAGAGATGTTGTATTGAACTAGATTCTGAGGTTCATTAACTAAGATGTTCTTCTTCTTCCTGGACCTCGTTTTCCAAGTATTTTTTTGTTGCAGGATAGCTTGAAGGAGAGCATACCTAGATTCATTTTGCATAATATGTCCAAAGAACTGTAACTTTTGAGATTTGATGGTGGTCTCTCGGTACCTTTTGGTTCTTATTTATTCTTTTGAGGACCTCCTCATTTGTGACTCGGTCAGTCCACAAGATCTTAAGTATTCTCTGCCATTTTTTTTTGCAAACTTTTACATCGGAGTTTATTTTTGACTAAAATCAAAATAAAGCCAAAAACTAATCCCACTTCCTATCACGAGAAAATATTCTCATTGTATTCTCGGTCGCCTTGAATAATGCTTCCAATATGAACCTCCAATCTCCTCTATCTTAATGTGAACACAAACTGGTACACGGTATGTAACACCCAATATTTATAATACTTTGATTTTATAGAAATTACTATACCAGTAAGGAAATGCATTCAAACATTTAATTTATAATAATCGAATTATCTTTCAGCGTTTAACATAATAACATAAAAAAATTATAATTTACAATAATATCAGACTAATTTATAGGTATTTACAAGGACCAGTATAAAATCAAAGACATAGAGACCCTTCAAGTTTTGGAAAAAAATAGCTACTAGATTTTTGTTGCACTAAAAGCTATTTTTTATGATTTAACGCGTTACACACTATTGTTTTCAGTTTCCCTAGAGTTTTCTGTAATATTGACTGTTGACTGGTTTTATATATTTATACAGTTATACAAGAAGAACGCTGTGAATGTCAGTCGAACAAAATCATACGGAAATCATAGACGCGCTTATAAAGGAAAAACGTACAATTTCCTACGACTCATATAAAGAAAGGGAATATTGAAGGAAGAAGGTGCATAGGCAGAAAAAATTTGTCATAGTTAAACAAAATAAGAGTTTGTTCAAACATAAACATCTATTCATTATTAAGAACTGCATATAAATAAACATTTGTGCAGGATAATTGTTTATTTGTGCCATTCTATTCTAACAAACAAAGAAAAATTGACCAGTCATTCTTACTATCACTACTGATAGAGATTTTCGATTTGAGCTGAAGAAGAAATTGAGCTAACCTAACTTTGAGCCGCAGTGCTCATGATTATTTTGCGTTTTTTTTTTGGATTAGATAAAAAACTACATAAACGTATGAAAACTTCTGAGGTCTGAGTAAATTGGTGTGTAACGTACTAAATTAATTAAAATTTTTGTTAGTTTAAAGTATGATTAGTAGCAGATTATTTCTTTTGGCTAAGCGAAGACATTTCGACAAATGTTTTGTCGATATCTGTAATAATGCCAAAGTATTTGTTCTTTTCCCTTAGGACAAAATCTGAAAAGCAAAAAAGCGGTTAAATAGCTGTGAAAAGCGATGTATGAGTCAATATTATCAGTACTATAATAATAGCGATGTTTTGTTTATATTTAATCGTCAGAGTTTACGTTGCAATAAAAGAAATAACAGGAACATTTGTATTTTCAAATATAACATTAACCTTGTTAATGTTATGTCGAAATTTGTTTTATTGATACAATTCTGTTGGCAATTTTTTTGTCAAGAAAGAAGTACATATTGCACATCAGCAACAACACTGTCATAAGTCGAAATTCAGTATTTTTTTATTTTCGTTGTATTAAATGGGTATTTTGTTAAACTTTTGTCAGCATCACTGTCGAAAAGATATTTTGTCATATAAGAGCTAGATGGCGACTTATGTCTGTTATAGCTATAACTACTTTTGTAGAACTCTATTCAGCAATAGTGTAACAGCTCACTTATGACAGTGTTGAAGTATTCTTTAGATATATTTTTTTCAAATTAAGTGTGCTATACTACTATTATTTACTAATAGCGATAGGTCTTGATAACAACACTGTCACATTATTCTGAGAGCCACATTGTGGTGTGTTTTCTGTTTATTAAAATTGTGTTTTTTGTGAATTTATCATAGAAGAATGACTGATCAGTCAAAATACATCTATAGAGACAGCTATCAGCAAATAGCTGACATCTATAGAGATGATAAAACAATTTGTATGGAAGAAAATAAAAGTTATGAGAATGTCACCATGTTTTCAAGAATTTTTAGGAATGAATTTAATCTCATTTTTACAACCTAAGAAAGATCAGTGCGGTATGTGTGCAGAGTATAAAAATGCAAAGAGTAAGGTCAATTTACATAAAAATTTTGATCATCATTTAAAAGAAGATCTATCACATATTAAAAAAGGTAAAGATAAGCAAAGAAGCAAAGCATGTGAGTGTATTACGGTATGTTTTGATTTACAGGCAGTTCTCCACACACCTTGTAGGGACATTAACTCCTTTAACTGTAAATCACAGTTAAGTATGTATAACTTTACTATATTTGACTTAGTATTATTGAATGGTTTCTGCTACGTTTGGCACTAAGGAGAAGGTAACTATGAATCTAACGAGATAGGATAATGTTTATACTCATTTCTTAAAAATGAATGCCCTAAAGCTCTTTCCGGTGTATTTTACTGCGACAATTGCTATGGTGAGAACAAAAACAAATTTATAACCTTGTTACTTCTTTAAATAGTAAGCAAACTCGATATTCTTTTGATCACTTAAAGTTTTTAATTGTTGGTCATAAGCAAAATAAAGGAAACAACATGCACTCCTTGATTGAAAAACAGAAGAAATATCCCATCACAATTTTGTGGTTTTGGAAGGAAAACACCTTTGGGTTTTCAGCAACATAGACACATTTGTTAATAATTAATATGTTAGTTTCAAATTTCTACAATACAGAATACTAATTGATAAAACAACCTAAATTAATATTATTAAAGTAAAAATAGCAATACTTTCATTCAATTTATAGAAATAATCCAACATTAAATAGTAAGGATAATCTTCATACCCGATTTACTCAAATTGAAAATTTTTGACTTATGACAGTGTTGTTGCTGAGGTGCGATATAGAAGACGGGATTCTAATAAATAAAGAGGTGATGAATAACCTTTTACTCAAGTTTCTTAAACACATATTCTAGCAGAATTATAAATACCTATCAAATAGCAAGAGAAATAAAAAATAAAAAATTTACTTTTTAAAAAACTAAAAATTTTTAGGAGGATCAAAAAATAAAATATTTCATGTTCTGCCGGAAAACATTATAACTTTCGATCACAAACATATTCGTAACATTAATGCGTGTTCTTTGATGTTGTTTACTTGAAATCAGTTACTAAAATAAATTAAGTGTCACTTCAACAAGCTGTTAAAATTTTACAGTATACTAAAATTTCTTACAAGAAAAAATACCCTTATAGTTGTACCTAATAATAATAATACGAGTTGACCTATTTGCAAAAGTAGAATTACGATAATGTAGTAAGTTTAAAGATTAGAATTAAATTTCTATAATTATTAAAAGTATAATTGTTTGTAGATTATAAGTATTTTGTAGCAAAAATGCATATTTTTTCATCTACCTGAGAAAATTGTTGTTAACTGTTTTTTACTGACCTGTCTTCATCTTTCTCTGTTTTTGTATGTCATTTTTTTGCTTCCCACACTCTTCTGACTGGTATGGTACCTTTCATCCGATATTAATGGCCCCAACAACTCAGCTGTCTCCATTTTATAAACTCCAATGTGAATTGTACTTTCAGTTATGTGTGTTTCTTATGCTGTCCATATTGGTAGCTCCTTTAAGTCAGCAAAAACTTCTTTGATTTTACTTCTTGTTATGCATTTCTTAATAATTTCATCGATAAATATTGTAAGTAGTGTTGGGATTAGTGCTTCTCCCTGTCTAAAACCTCCATTTATTGTAAACGCATCTAATGTGTTATTACTAATTACGACATTGTTGGTCTCATATTTTTTGTATTATTCTTATAATTTTTCTGATTATTACTTGATGCTTTTCCATCCGTTATCGTTTTTATTCTTTCTTCTAGTTTTCCCTTATTTGTTAAATTTTCTGTGTTATCTTCCAATATATTATCTTATTCTTCATTAATGTCAACGTGGCCTTCATCTGTTAATAGTTCTCCAAAAGTGTTCTTTCCATATTTTTACGATTTGTTTCATCCTTACTGCTGTATATTTCTTGTTTTTGCTATGTCATTAACGTCCTTAGAGCTCTGTAGAATAGTTTGGGTTATTTTTGCTTATTTCTTCATTTTATCTACGAATTTTTCTCAATTGTCTCTCTTAGCTGCTGTTACTAATATTTTTACCTTTTTTTCTTTAATTTCTATAGGTACATATTATAATTCTCATTTGTTTTATCTTTCATATATTATATCCATACTTTTTTCTTAACTTTTATCTGTATTTTGAGTTCTTTTCAACAGACTGTCTATTTCTTTGAGAAACATTTTTGAGTTGTTCCACATACCTCTTTAGCTGCATCCAACAGTAAATTCTTATAGTCATTTTATAGGTTGTTTATATCATTAATATTTTCTATTTTTTATAATAAATATTTAAAAATCTTTAAAAATAATTAATTTTAACAAATTTTTATTATATTAACATTGACTTCGAGAAATGTTCCTGTTATTTCCTTATATATAAAATGCAAAAAAATATCTTAAAATAAAGTTCATATAAAATTTAGTTATCGCCTGAAATTTGCTAAAGCTATTAAAATGCGAGTAGCGAATGAAAAAACCCTCGTTACCTTCAAGTCTGTCAACTTCCTTCTGCAATTTCTTGACGGTCTTTTCTGCGAATTCGGCACGTGCTTCAGCTTCCTTTAGTTTGACGGTAAGGCTCTTAAGTTGTTTCTTGAATTCTTCTACCCTCTGGTTGGCCTTTTCTTCGGATACTTCGAGAGATTTGAGAGAGTTACCTACGACTTTCAATTCTTCTTCGAGTTCCATGATCTTGGCATCTCCACCCTATTACAGTAAAATCATATATTTTAGTACAGAAAATTCTAGAGAAATAAACACAAAGGAAAAGAAAAGAACTAGTTAAGCCTACTTCTATTTAATATAATAATGGACGAAATAATACAAACAGTACTTAAAGGCCATGGTTACAGAATGGGAAACAAAGAAATCCAAATATTATGTTATGCAGACGAAGCCGAATTAATCGCCGAGACAGAAGACGAGCTCCAAAGATTAACACAGTTCTTTAATACAACAGCCAACAAAAACAATATGATAATATTAGCAGAAAAAAACAAATGTATGACAACATCTAAATATCCACTTTGATGTAAAATCAAAATCACCAAATGATCGAAGAAGTATTGGCAGACTAAGAAAAAGATGGTGAGATAATATAAACAATTTAGGAGGCTAATATTGAAGAAGAAACAAGCTTTAAAGCCTACATATAAGAAGGAAGAGAAAGAAGACAGAATGAAAGGAAGACAAAAATAGAAATATTAAACGAGTTTGAACTTGAAGAACGTGCTAACAACAATAGATCGCTGAACTTTACAACAAAGTAAAGTATTTCTCAAGGGAATTCAAACCACAAACATAAATTCTAATTAATGAAGGAGAAACAATAACAGATGCGAACAATATTGGTTAATTCTGGTGACTATACAGCGATAAACCGCTACACGACACTGAGGGAACCGTCAATCACAATCCAGATTATAGCCAGATAGAGATATCATCTTTAATTTTAAGAGCAGAAGTAGAGACGGTGAGGTCACTCTAACATAATCAATCGCCCAGTGAAAACGGCAGAAATAATAATTAAAATAACTAGTGAAATAGGTGAACCGTGAACCAGTTGTAACATGATTTGGCAATGGCGATTGGTTGAAGGAATAGCATGAGTTTATTTACATACCAATACGCAAGAAGGGCTCACCTACAGACTGCAGCAAATACAGAACAGTAGCTCCTACAATTGAAAATAAAGTATGTAAAGTATTTCAAAATTAAAGATTGAGCTACAGTTTGGATCACAAAAGAGCTAATTGTATATGAACATTATTACCTGGACCTCACATTGTACATATCTTATCAGGTGCAGAACACTAAAAACATCTGAAGACATCCTTAGGGCAGACCTAATATACTTAAATATATTGAGCAAATATTTCCATAAGTGGAGCCTCAATTAAATGCTTCCAACTAAACAATAAACTTGCCGGAAAGAAACCCAACATATGGTTCAAAAATGCCATTCTTACCCACAAAAATTTCAAAGTATTTGGGCGTAATATCAGACGATATCAGGCAGAACACTATCTATTCAGGAGCGTTTAACAAAAACTTGGGAAAAGTTAAATACAAGAAACCTTATTATAAACAAAACCACTGCGGTACCGCCTAGGAAACATTAGTGCCTTGGTCCAGCCCGACTGCTGACTATTGTGCTCCAGTTTGGCGACACAGCCCGCCCGTGCACACCACGATGACGATAATAGCTGGGCCATTAAATCAACTTATGTCACATTTCTCCTCTGCATCTACGATGAGTTGACACACTTTTGCGCGAATAGAAAAAGATCATAAACAATGCAATCAATCTTTTTCTTCATGTACCATGTCCTTTCAGAACGTTGGTTACCATCATAGCTATTTTAATTTTATTCACTGCCACCCTAAATAGCATGCTTGTATCTACACCATACCAATCTCGCAAGTTCTTCAACCATGAGGTTCTTCTTCGTCCTGGACTGCGTTTGCCTGCTATTTTTCCTTGCATGATATTTTGTAGCAATCTATATTTGGGACCTTTCATTACATGTCCGAAATATTCCAGCTTTCTGTGCTTGATGCTTTTTATGATCTCAGTAGTCTTGCTGAGACGTTCTAGTACTGTGGAGTTACGAATCTTCTCCACCCAGGAAACTTTTAAAATTCTTCTATAGCACCACATTTCGAAAGCCTTAAGGCGATTTAGATCGATTTTATTCACAGTCCAGGACTCGACAGCATAAAGTAAGACCGAGAACACGTAGCAGAGAAGTAGGTGGATCCTTATGCCAATTTTAGGTCTCTGTTACATAACACCTTGGACATCCTTCTCAAAGCAGCTCTAGCCTGCTCTATTCTGGATCCAATTTCGCCGTGATTTTCTGCATTACAATTTAATTGCTGTCCAAGGTAGACGATTTTATCAACTTGCTCAAGTTTGGTATTATTTTTATATATAGACGGTTTTATATTCTGTTGTTTACTTATTACGAGTATTTTGGTTTTCCTTATGTTAAGATCCAGACCTGCCTCCCTACAACTCTCAACGACACTATCAAGTAGTGTTTGCAGATCTTCTTGACTAGAAGCTAGGAGTACTGTATCGTCCGCATATCGCAAATTATTGATGACTTCGCCGTTCACAAGTATTCCTTCTTGTTTTTCAGAAAGTGCTTTTCTGAAAATTCTTTCGGAGTAAACGTTAAAAAGCAGGGGTGACAAGAGGCATCCCTGTCGTACTCCTCTTTTAATATTGAGAGCTTGTGTAATCAATGCAAGATCATATGTCAATCTATTAACATACTGAGGACTTTGGAAGTACCCAACTTCGTTCTAGAAAACCACCAACAATGATTCACTATGCTTTGAATATAATATAAATATGGTCTCAACAAGGGACTGCTTGGCACAATAACCACATGCTCTGCATTAACCACAAACCACTATGGTTTGATCTTATACGAAAAACACGGTCCACCCAAAACATGATCCGAACCTGATACGGAAGATGTGCATACATGTGGAAAAAACCAAACCAATGAAACAAATTTATTAATAAATAAAATAAAGCGAGAGCACTGGGAAACATACTTTAAACAGCTGAAGAGTGCCTTCCATATGTCGCAGAAAACAATATGGAGCATAATAGAAAATCAACGTAAAAAAAGACAAGTATACAGATTCATAGATATTATACCTAACAGACTTATTTAAAAGGGATTTATTAGAAAAAGGATGAGAATATCTCAAGACCAATAGGGTGAAGAAGCAATTTACAAGGGATACCAAAGATTAAACAAACACTTTTTCGATTAAGAAGAATAAATACTAAGAAGAAGCTATATAAAACAAGTTATGTATAATATTATATATTTACCTTAACACGGTCTTCAGCTACTTCAAGTTCGTCTTCAACGAAGGCCAGTTTACGGGATACTTCATCAGATTTGTTGTCAGCATCTTCAGCCAAGAGACGGGCTTCTTTCAATTGGTTGGTGAGTTGGTCCATGCGTTCCTCATCTTGTTGAGAACGGTTTTCCAATACTTTGCACATTCTGTTAGAGCGAAAATGAAACATTTTAGTAAATTTTGACTAACTGAAAATTTGTATAAAATTACCTTTCCATTTTAGAATTTTAAATATTTAGGACATTATGCTAATGCGTCAGGGTGACATACAATAATAAATTTGACATAAAGTAATTTTAATTTTAATCAGTTCACGGGTTTACGTTTTAAATCTAGGACTTAAACAAAGTTGGGGATTGGTTCACTTCGCCATTTCTTCGAAATCATTTTGAAAAATTCACAAGGAAAATGAAATTCTTGTAGTTGGCTGTATACCATCAATCACAAAAAAGTTTATTTCAAATCCTTTAAAAAATATATATAATTTAAAATTCCTTTCAAGTTATATCACAGAACGTTTTCGGACTAAAAAGCCCATCATCAGTGTTTTGCTACCCGGTGCACATGAGTTAAGCCACTGAATCATCATCATAAGTGGCTCGACAATCTGTTGTAGATCATGGCCTGCTCACGAAGAAGTTGCCATTCCTGTCGATTTCCGTCCATCTTCTAACGCTTAGAATTTATATGTCTTCTCCAACATCATCAATCCATCTCATTCGTGGTCGACTTCTACTTCTTATGCCCTCTGGTTTTGAAAAACCACTAAATACCTGGGTAAAAACCCTTTAAATAGTACCAAATTTAATGTGTGCTACATTTTATTTAAAATTATGTTCTTCTTCTTCTTCTTCAGCCTTCATTTATCCAATGTTGGACATAGGCCTCCTCCAATTGCTTCCACGCTTCCCTATCTTTTGCAATTCTCATCCACTGCTTTCCAGCTACAGCAGTTATATCGTCTATCCATCTCTTTTTAGGTCTTCCCACGCTTCTTTTTGTTTCTCGAGGTCTCCAGAATGTCACTTTATGAGACCATATGTTGGTGTCTTTGTCTTGCTACATGTGCTACCCATTGCCATCTCAATGTCGCTATTTTTCCCATGATGTCGGTTACTTTAGTTCTTCGACGTATTTCGGTGTTAGGAATTTTGTCTCTGAGGCTTATATTTAACATGGCCCTCTCCATGGCCGTTGAGTTACTCTTAATTGTTCTGCCATTTTTCTTGTTATTGCCATAGTTTCCAATCCATAAGTTGCAACTGGTAGTATACAAGTGTCATAGGTTTTTCGTTTTAAGTGAATTGGGATTTTTCTGTCTTTTAAAATGAAGCTCAATTTACCAAAAGCAGCCCATGATAATTGTGTCCTTCTTTTAATTTCTAGGGTTTGATTTTCCTTTTCCTTTTTAATTGCATGTCCTAATATATATATATATATATATATATATATATATATATATATATATATATATATATATATATATATATATATATATATATATATAGGTATATATTGTTCTACCTTTTCTATATTGATGTTATCTATCGTGAGATTCATGTTATATATCGAGATTCATTTTTAATCCTATTTGATTCGATTTGTGATTTAAATCTTGTAGCATTGATTTTAGTTCATGGATATCTGTGCTTATTAGTACTATGTCGTCTGCAAAACGCAAATGGTTAAGATATTCTCCATCTATTTTTAATCCATTTTCGGCCCAATTTAGTTGTTTGAAAACATTTTCTAATGCCAAAGTAAATAACTTGGGTGAGATGGTGTCGCCCTGTCTCACACCTTTGCCAAGGTCTATTTTCATAGTTTCCAGATCATCATCTATTTTTACGTAAAAAGTAGCATCATCGTATATATTCTTAAGGAGGGCAGCATATCTTGAATCTACTCTGGCGTCGTCCAATGCTGTTAAGAAAGCCCATTTCTCGATACTGTCGAATGCTTTGTGATAATCGACAAATGCCAGATGTAGTGGTATGTTGTACTCTATTGTTTTTTCAATAATGGTCCGAATTGTTTGCAAGTGATCGATAGTGCTGAAACCCTTACGAAAGCCTGCTTGCTCCACTGGTTGGTATGCATCTAGTTTAACTGTCAATCTATTTGTTATTATTCGGGTTAGTAGTTTGTAAAGGTGTGACAATAAGCTTATTGGTCGGTAGTTTTCTATATTTGCGGCGTCCCCTTTTTTATGGAGTCGAATGACTTCCGCATTTTTCCATGTCTTCGGTATTTGTCCTTTCAATAGGCATTTATTAAGTAATGCTCTTATTGCCTCTTCTAATGCAGTGCCTCCCATTTTTAGCATCTCTGAAGTAATTTTTTCTTCTCCTGGTGTTTTCCCATTTTTCATTTGTTTTAGGGCGGCTCTAGTTTCTGATGTTATTATTTCAGGGAAGCCCTCTGAGCCCACATTTAAGATATGTTTTGTTGGTATACCGGGGTTCGGCATAGGAGAAGTACACAGCTTCTCATAAAATTTTCGGATTTCTCTAACGATATCTTCCTTATGCGAGCACAATGTTCCACGGTCGTCTTTTATCTTTATGATTTTATTCCTGCCAGTGGATTTACATGTTTTTAGTACTTTCATGTTCTTATTGTTTTCTATGGTTTCAAGAATCTGGTTTGTTCTATAAACTCTGAGGTCTTTTCGAATATTTTTCTTAACGCTTCTGTTGAGCGCTTTATAGTCCGGGTTATCTCTGTTCGTTCTTCTTCTTTTCTCTATCTGTTCTAGAGTTTCGGGTTTTAGTTTAGCTTCCTTTTGTTTTCTTATTCTGCAACAAAGTTTCTTAGTGACTATTTGTATGTCTTTAGTTATTTTCTCAGCTAGTTCATCTATATTCTTGTGCTCAAAGGTATTTGCTACTAGTTTTCGTGCTAATTCCTTTTGGTATTTCTCTTTATTACTGGCTAGGATGTCTGCCGTCGGTAAAGGGTTTGTTGTTAATAGTTTTCGTCTTTCTCTCTTTACGTTAATACGTATATCAGCACGAACTAGTCTATGGTCACTGCCGGTGTTAAATTTGTTCAATACCTCGATGTTTTTCCATATTGATCTATCACTGGAAAGGATAAAATCTATTTCATTCTTAACCTGACCGTCAGGGCTACGCCATGTCCACTTTCTTTGTATTTGTTTTTTATAGAACGTGTTCAGGCAAAACATTTTTTTCGGTGCTTACGTAATTTGCTAATGTCTCTCCTCTGGTGTTTCTGTTGCCTAGACCGAAATTTCCTATGTAGTCTGAGTCACTTGGTATTCGCCGCTCTATTTTTGCATTAAAATCTCCGGTGATGAAAACATAGTGTTTTTTCTAGGTCTTTAGCTCGCGTTATATCTTCGTAGAGTTGTGCAATTGACTCGTCATCTGCAGTGGAAGTTGGAGCATAGCAGTGTATTATCTGTAAGCTATATCGTTTATTCAGTTGTATTACAAGATATATCACTCTTCCTGACATTTGGTATCCTTTTTGAGTTCTTACTTTTTTTATTTCATCCACAATAATGAACAATAGAAAACTCAGGAAATCTCCTTGTCTTATCCCACTGCCAAGTTCAATAGGGTCCGTTAGTTCTTCTTTTCCTTCTACTTTTATTCTGTTGTTTTGGTAGATATTTTCGTCGTGTCGAGCGCCCTCGATAATAATGTAAGCTTTCATTTTGCGTTTATATTTTTTAAAAATATTTATTAGTTTTCTCAAGATTTGAAAAAAATTAATACATTTCAAAATCATTGGACAAATAGATAAGGACTCAAAAAGAGTCCTTATCTATTTGTCTCTAAACTGATCAAGGTATAACCACAAAGTATATAGTATTTATTATAAAAAATAATTTTCTTGACACTTACCGGGAGCTTTCATCAGCAGCTTGGGAAGCTTCAGCCAATTTAGTGGTAGCTGTGCCCAAACGTTCCTCGGATCTTTCCAAGTCTTCTTCAATAAGTTGTACTTTACGGTTAAGAGCGGCTACTTCAGATTCAGCCTAAAATATAAGAAATAAATAAACTCGAATAAAAACGAATCGGTAAAAACGTAAGAAATTTAGTAAGATTTTTATTTTATTTAGCGTATGGATAATTACAATTCGATAAAAGTAGTATTTAGATAATAATTATGTTCAAATTGGAATTGTAACCTAAGTTAAATATTAAATATTAATGTCCAAATTGCACAGCCATTCAATTGCACCAGGAGAACACTGCAAAATCTTAAAGGTCTCTGAACAGATTGGACAGGGGGTCGTCTGGACTTCAGTCTTTGTTGGTCTCGTGCGGCGTGCGGAATATACTGGTGAATTGGCAGACGATTATTTGTCATGATTTTCTGATATTCTCTGATAAGTGCTGCCGTTCGTCGAATATCTGGAGGTGCTATATTGCTCAGAATTGGAAGCCATCTTAGTGGAGTTGATTTAATAGTACCAGATATTACTCTCATAGTGTAATTTAGTTGAACATCAATCTTGTTGACATGAGCGCAATTTAGCCATACCGGTGCGCAGTATTCAGCGACAGAATACACCAGGGCCAGTGAGGAGGTTCGAAGTGTATCCGCAGTGGCACCCCATGTCGTTCCAGCAAGCTTTGTTATTATGTTGTTACGGGTTCTCACTTTGACAGCTACATTCGTAAGATGGGTTTTGAACGTCAGTGATCTGTCGAGCGTAACACCCAGGTATTTAGGGTTGTTATTATGTTTTAAAGTCTCGCCATTGAAGGTGATGCTAAGGGTGTCATCCGAAAGCTGATTTGTGAGATGGAAGAGGTTTGTCTCAGTTTTGTTTGTATTAGGGCGAAGTCGCCATTGTTTAAAGTAGTCGCAGAGAACACTTAAGTCTTCGGTAAGCGCCCTTTCTCCAACATCTTTGGCTTGGTTTTGAAATGCGATAGCCAGGTCATCTGCGTAAGCAAATTTTTTTGATTTTGTCTCTGGAAGATCGGCTGTGTAAATGTTAAATAATAATGGAGCAAGCACTGAACCCTGTGGGAGGCCATTATTTAGCTTTCTGACATTGCTCTTTGTATCGTTTATATATACTTGAAACAGTCTGTTGGTCAGGAGGTTATTGATTAGTTGGCAGGTTTTCAGGCATGGTATGACCTTCATTAGCTTGTAGATCAGGCCTTCTCTCCACACAGTGTCATATGCAGCCGTCAGATCTATAAACGTTACGGCTGTTTTTTCCCGTTTTTTCGAAACCGGCTTCAATAAATGTCGTTAAGGACAGTACTTGATTACTACAGCTCCGCCCGCTTCTAAATCCGGCCTGTTCGACTGGTATCACAGTGTCGGTGATGGGGTATATCCTGTTATATATAAGTCACTCTAGTAGTTTGTAGCAGCAACTGAGGAGGGCAATTTAGTAAGAAAAGAATATATACAGAAATGTAAAAAACCAAGAAATATTTGGGGGAAATAAGGGAGAAAATAAGAAATTTGATAGATAACCTAAGTAAAAAAATGCAAACATGCAATGACTTATACAATACACCACTTTTAAGATAAGAATGAAACACATTTGTGGTACTTTAAAAATATTTGGAGGAAAATGTTTAAAATATAAACATACACACATACTCATAACCAGAACTGGCATACAAAATAACTACAATTGATAATACACATACACATGAAATAGGAACAGCCAGAATATCACTAAAAGAAAGGAGAGTTCCAGGATCAGCTTGGTCAGGACCTGATGAAAAATAATAATACTCTGTAAAATCTTCAATAATATCTATGACACAGGCAATATTCCAAAAGATTGGCTAGTTTTAGAATTGATTACATTACCAAAGAAAAAGGGAGCGAAAAGCGGAGAATAAAGCGGAGAATAAAGGCTAAAGTAGATTATAAAAACCGCCGTATATAATATAATACAAAATTTATACTGGAACCAATCAGCCACAATAAGAACAAATCTTGGAGATAAACCGATGGAAGCGATCCAGATTCTGCGAGGCGTTAGACATGGATGTATACTTTCACCTATATTATTCAACCTATATTCAGAGTAAATATTTAGTGAATGCTTGGAAAATTGTGAACATGAAATCCTTTTAAATTGGGAACCTGGACATTCACTGAAGCGATGGAGAAAAAACTTAAAGCCTTCGAGATGTGACTATACATAAGAATCCTAAGGATATTATGGACGAAGACGATAATCAACGAGACTGTACTACGAAGAAAGGGGAAAGAAAGAGAAGTTATGTATGCAATTAAAAGCAGAAAGTTAGAATATCTCCGACACATAATGAGACACGGCACTAAATACGTATTACTGAAAATAATTCTTCAAGGCAAAGTATTCAGAAAGCGAGGAATTCTTAGAAGAAGAATATCATGTTAAAAAAACCCGAAGAAATGGTTCTTCACATGGACGTATAAACACAGATGGACTCAGTTATTTACATAAAATTGTGAAGTCAAAATTATTTGAATAGGTCACATTCTCAGCACCTTCAACTGTTATCACGTTTTGTTTTAAAATTTCTTATTCGCGAGTCCCTGAAAATATTACTCCGTATTTTATACTCTACAGGTGCTATCAAACCAAAATAATAATTTATTGGTTAGATTAATATATTTAATTGTAATCAAAATATAAAGTGTGCACATAGTGTGCATTATCATTTAATAATAACGTATAATTTAGATATTAATGAATTATTTTATATGTAGAAGCACTAAACACTATTTATAAATGGCAACGGTTGTTTACATTTCTCTGTCTTATGGATCTACGTCAAACTTCAAATGCTGTTCCATGTTTGTTTACTTTTTAGTAAAAGTTGTTTTTCGATATTTTGGCTGTATTTTGAGTGATATTTGTGAAAGGGAAATAAAATAAACGAAATATTTACATCCCGATCTCTCATTTCATTTGTAAATACATACAATTTACATTATTTAAGATGAGGAAATGAGGAAGCGTGTTTGTTTACATTTTAATAGGCGTACCATTGGGTTTATTCATGTTTATTAATGTATTGAATAAGATATAAATTCATGAAATTAGTAGACATTTTTTAATTGTAAGTAGACATCATCTGATTAAAAAAGATCTGTTTAGTACCTTTTTAAAACGTGTTTTTATACATTATTACTATTTCCAATTTTTAAAATCTGAATAATTACCCGCGAGTAAAAATTCAAGCACGCTTATGCTCATTGCGGAAGCATCACATTCTATGGAAGCTTCAAAACATTGTGTGTTAAAGGTATCTTATTGCTGTGTCCATCTATGTTTATACGTCCATGGTTCTTCACAACAACAACTAATATTTTTAAAGCATCAGTTAATGAAATAATTATAGCCAGAATGATCGCCAATATTCGAAACGAATAGGCCAAAAGAAAAAGAAGATAATACATACCTGAGTCAATTGTTTTTCTTTGTTTTCAAGTTCTTGGTTGGCATTTTCTAAGGCATTTTTGTTGGTGGTCAGATCATTTTCGACTTGAGAGAGTTTCTTTTGAAGGTCACGTACTTCCTCATTGACTTTTTCAGCGCGACCGTTGGCGTCCTTGTACTGACCTTCCATCGCATCGGCTTTATCAGCCGCATTGTCTTTTTCAAGCTTCATCGCTTGCATTTTCTTCTTGATCGCGTCCATGGTGGCGCTGTTTGTTTGGTACTGGCTAGATCAAAAGACAAGGGCCTCTGAAAAGAAGAAAATGGAATTAGTTTTTTGTTAATATTTAGAATACAGATGTGAACAAACATTTGTGGCATATATTAGTCTTAAATACCAACAATTTGTATTACAGATAATGGAGAAATAATATAGAAAGATTATAATTAGGTTGTCTTTTCATCAAATAGCTACTTTAAGAATGTTGGGTAACCACTTTCACACACTACAATTCGCTTTGCATCGTCAGCTCGTCGGTAAGGTAGCTTAAATGAGCCGATACAAGAAATGTAGATATATCTACTTGATAGCATACTTAAAACTCCGTTATGGTTGGATGTTGTGTGAGGTTAAGTTACCTTTCAGGACCCTTGACGATGTATAATAAATTAATTGTGAGTAAGTCTGTTATTTATTTCTTTTACCTAAATCCTCATTATTCCTTTCCCCCAAACATGCAAGGGTCTGCTTAACAAAAAAAAACATCAACAGCCAAAAATATTGTTGTGTAAGGGACAAAAATTAGAAAAAAACAACCAAATAAGGTGTCCAAAAATTTTTCTTAAAAGAATGAAAACTATTTGCAAATATATTAATGCAAAAGTCTTCTATATTCAGCTAGACATAAATATATCTAAAAAGCAACTTATTTACTCCATCGCAATAAAAAAATATATTACGAACCTGTTAACATAAATTGTTTATAGTTACATTTGTTGATCACTAGATAAAACTGTACGCACACACTCCTAGGACAATAATTTATTACAACAAATTGGAAATATATGCCATTAACGAAGTAACCAAACAAAACCCACAAAATAACTTTCCGTAAATACAGATTCGTGTCTCTAGTTTTTGAAACTGTTTATAGCGACACACAAATGTGCTGACTATACTACCACATATGATAAGGTTAATTGACTGAAACAATAGATAGATATAAAAATAAAGTTATTGATTGATAAGATTATGCTTTCAACTTTTAATACCTTCTTAAAACGTAAATCATGTTAAAATTATATAACAAAGGAAATAAAAGATTAAAACAATGATTTTTAGAGAAGAACCAATATTTTTCTTCTGTAAAATAAATCTTTGGAAGTTTTTCTGTAGCTTGGATTTGTACTGAGCAGTCTATTGCCAGGAAACACAAGTTTTGCCAGTCTCTATTACAAGAGAGTTATAAAACTAATGCCAAAAAATATTACAAGAAACGCTTATGCTAATGTTAAACTAACAACTTTATCAGATGAATAACAAGGATTCAGATCCGGAAGATCCTGCATAGACGCCGTATTTGTAGTAAGACAAATCACAGAAAAGGCAATCGATTAAAATAAACAAGCATATCTGTTTTATAAACCTGACAAATTCAAAGACATCTTACACCTACTGTATAAAAGAAACATACCAATTAATATTATACAAACCATCGAGAACATTTACTTCCGTAATCAAATACAGGCAAAGATAAATGGAAAACTAACACAGTGTATACCAGTATAAAGCGGAGTGAGACAGGGTGACTCGTTAAGCCCACTTCTCTTTATTTTTTTTGAACCTATTTTCTATCCTTCCATTGTTGGATATAGGTCTCCCCCAGTTCTCTCCATCTTTCCCTATCTTGAGCTGTTATCTGCCATGTGGGACCTCCTTGTTTCCTGATGTCATCTTTCCACCTCATCTGTGGTCTGCCTCTTGATCTCTTTGCATTGTATGGACGCCACTTTCCGATGGCATTGTTCCATCGTCCGTCTTGGAGACGTTCATTGTGTCCAGCCCATTTCCATTTCAGTTTTGCTGCTTGTTCTATCGCGTCTACTGTCTTTGTTCTGGTTCTGATTCACTGGTTACGTTTTCTATCTCGTCTTTCTCTAATTGTGGTTTCTCTTTATTATAATGGATGAAATAATACAAGCAGTATGTAAAGGTCATGGTTACAGAATAGGGAACAAAGAAATTAAAAGCAAAACAAAGAATGGGTGACAAAACGGACACAGGAGTGGAATGAACACAGTAGAATAGCAGAGGATAGGATAGTACGAATAGCACTAGATAAGTCGCCAAATAGACGAAGAAGTATTGGCAGACAAAGAAAAAGATGGTACGATAATTCAAACAATTTAGAAGGTTAATATTGAAGAACAAGCATGAATTAAAGCCTGCATACAGGAAGGAAGAAGAAGAAAGAAATTTTGTTTGTGGATTACTTGGAAGCTGGTAAAACAATGAATTCTAAATATTGTTATATTTTATTGTATAAATATATTAGACCTGCTGAAGGAAAAATTCGTGAAAATAAAACCCGGTTTGCAGAAGAAAAAAATCCTTTGTCACCAGGACAATGCACCATATCATATGAGTATTTTGACAATGGCTAAAATCCGTGAATTAAAGTTCGACTTGTTGGAGCATCCACCATATTCACCAGATTTGGCCCCTAGTGAACTCAGTACCTAAAAATTGCGTGGGAAGCGTTTTTTATAAAATGTTGAGGTTATAACAGCTATAGCAGCTTATTTTACAGCCACTCCACATTCTAACTTCAGGGATGGAATTCATAAATTGCAGTCTCTTTAGAACAAGCGTATTGATGTTCTGAAAGACTATACCTATTGTATAATAAAGTGTATTTCAAACTATAAAATTGTGGTTTTCTTATCGAACTGCAAAACTTATTGAACAACCTAATACCGTATTTTAATACACAATTAGTTATGGATTTACTGTTTGATTATTTTTTAATTCTAATATCTAGCTTAATTTTAGCATTTTTTACAGTGATGTACGATTTATTATTAATGCATTTTGGAAAATCAAAAACTTTCTAACGCTTTTCATAACGAATCCGCTTAATTTACGAGAACGTCTTTAGTCCTTAATTTCACCTTTTAGCAGCCGTCAGAGCTTGGAAAAATATTTATGAGTGCTAATTTTAAATTCTGGATTGAGCAACTTCTGTAAATAAGTGTGTAATCGATTTAAAAATACATCTTATACCAAAAGAATGTATTTGCACACGACACAACGTTTACAAGTCGATAAATTTAGGAAATGTTTGTAGGCTTAAAACAATTGACGGGCAATTAAATTGATGTTATTTTGGTGGTTTTGTATTAAATTTGAGGTTAGACATTATTTATACCATAATAAATATGTTTCATTTTGAAGTTTAAACTTATTAGTAGGCATTGAGTATAAGAATCAAAGTTGATATAAATTATATTATATTATAATATAATTAAAATTGTCCCACATAAGTCTACCTTGACAATTATTCTTACAACCTTACTTCAGCTTCTTCTGTGCTCATGTATCAAGTGTGATCGTCGAAATTTTATTAGCTTCAGTCACAATAGCATAAGCTTCTTTTTCTTTCTTCTTGTATGTCTGTTTCTTCTTCCCTTCCTCTAATATTAGTCTCCTAAATTGTTTTAATTATCTCACCATATTTTTCTTGGTCTGCCAATACTTCTTCGTCCATTAGTAAGTCACTAGGATCAGGTCTTGTCTACGCCGTGTATGTTAATATAGGTCTAATTGCTGCTTTATAGATTCTTGTTTTTGTCTTGTCATGACTGTTTGTTCTTTCAGATTGTGTCATTAAGAGGTCCCGCTGCTTTACTTGCTTTTAAGCTTTGTTGTCGTACTTCGACTTCAACATCTCCGTAACTTGTTATATTTATTCACAGATATCTAAACCTTGCTTCATAATCGTATTGTTTTTCTTGGATGTTGTATTGTTTGTCTCGGCGATTAATGCGGCGTTGTCTACAAAACATAATATTTAGATTTCTTTGTTCCCCATTCTGTAACCATGACATTTCCATTTATCTTTGCCTGTATTCGATTATGGATGTAGATTGGTTGAAGTAGAAAAATTCTTTCGCATCCCAAAAAACTGATTTTAACTCCTTCTTCGCAGATTTCTTGACACGAACTCATTTCGGAGCCGAATAACCATGTTCACACCACACAAAATCCACTTTAGTCTTTCTAAAACGCTCTAAATCTAAATGTTGCTGAGAATGTCGCATTGGAATTCTTCAATCATGAAAATCCACAATTGAATATAAACATCTCTTTAATGTATACCAAGGTATACCAAATGAAGTATTAAAACATAGGCCACAAGTATTACGGGAATTACTGGCGTATGTCTTCACCGTATTCTATAATGGACACGACTTACCACCGGAGTGGACAAAAGCACATATGAACAACATCTACAAAAAAGGAGATAGAAAGAATTGCTCAAACTACAGGGGGCTAAGTGTCATAAATTCACTCTCAAGACTGTATGCAAAAATTATAAAAAAAAAAATTGAAAAAGAGATGACAGATGTAGAAGAACAGAACGGCTTTCGTGCAGGCAGATCCTGTATGGACAGTATATTCTCTCTAAAGCAAGTTAGCGAGAAAAGATTAGCCCACAATCCTTCAACTCATATAGTCTTTATAGATCTGACAAAGGCATACGATAGTGTGCCACTTTCAATGCTTTGGGTAGCAATGGAAAAACAAGGAATAAGCAAAAAAAATACAAGCAGTACAACAGCTCTACAAAAATATGACGACAAACATTAAAACTGGAAATAGATTAACTAGAGAAATTCCTATTAGTAAGGGCCTAAAAACAAGGCTGCTGCATAGCACCTACACTCTTCAAAATATATCTAAATGAGGCACTCTCACTGTGGAGAAGAACGTGCTGTAATATGGGCATCCCAATCGGAGATGATAGATTGTACACGATACACTTCGCTGACGACCAAGCCATTCTAGCTGAAGACGAGAGTGATGTAGGATACATGCTTAGAAAACTGGAAGATGAGTACAACAAATGGGGCCTCATAATTAATATACAAAAAACTGAGTATTTAGTTGTAGGAGAGAAACCAGAAAGCCTACAAATCGAAATAAGAACTACTTATAAAACCAACAGACAATTTTAAATACTGGGAGTCCAAATAACGTCAAAAGCAGGAAGTAGCGAAGAAATACATTCCAGGATTGGCCAAGCAAGATCAGCCACCAGACAGCTACACGAACTATTATGGAACAAAAAAATAACAAAAGAAAATAAAAGAAGAATTTATAAAACAATAATAGAAAGTATTGGACTGTACGGTGCCGAACTCTGGGAAATAAACCAAAGAAACAAATCAAAAATTAAGGCCATGGAAATGAACTACTGGAGACGATGTTGCCAGCTCACTAGACTTGATAGGGTGAGAAACGAAGATATTCGGAGAGAAATGGAAATCGATCTAGACATAATAGACACAATCGAAGCCAAAAGACTTAACTGGTATGGACACCTTCAGAGAATGCCGGAAAATAGATGGCCAAAAAAAATAGAAGAATGGACTCCGCCAACTAGAAGAAAACGAGGTAGACCAAGACGATCCTGGAGAGACGATGTCGACGATGCAATTGTTTCTGGAAACGTTCAACGTGTGGGAGAAGATCAAGTGGACGATCCCCAACTGTATGGTCCGACCAAATTAAGAATTCAGGTGGAAACTCATTCGGCTAAGCCCTCAGAGCAGCTGAAGATAGAGACCAATGGAGAAAAATTGTTAGGAATATTGGGTGAAATCACAATCATCAATAATGGGGAAACGACAAGAGACAGATAGAGAGAGAGAGATCTCCTTGAAGATAAGAGAAGCCGGGGAAAACCACCAACGTTATGGACGGAAGACATACGAAGAATTTAGCTTAACTGGACGCAACTTGCGCAAAATAGAATTTGCTGGAGACGTATATTAGATGCTTATGTGTAACAGTGGACTAAAGAAGCTGCTAGATAAATACGACATATTAGAAGACTACAAATAAAAACTTGAAAAATGAACTGGAATAAAACATGTTCCAATATTGTCTCTTTCAACAATTGTTCTATGAACATT